TCCTTTTAAAGGTACCGACAAAAAAATTATAATGATATAATTTATTAAAAAATAAACATACTTTTAATGTATTTTAGTTAATATATAATTATGTATGTTAATATAATAAATATATAAAAAAAGGCAAAATACATAAAATAGCAATCTACTTTCATAAATTTATTTATTATAGCATTGTACTTTCAGTTTTTCTTATTAGAGCAGTATACTTTCAAATTATTTTTTATTTAGACATTGTATATTGAAAAATTTACCCATTATAGCATTGGGTAACCTTTTGATTTAAATTTACCCATTATACTAGGTTTCCATACCACCTCATTGTCCACCTAGGCTGTCCACATGTACTATAGTGATGTGACTTTCTTACTACATCATTGTACTTTCAAAATTATTTTATTATAGCATCTACTATTTCTTATTAAACACTGTATTTTTAATTTTAATATTTAGATATTTTACATGTTTTTTTTAATAAATGTATTAAATGAATTAAAAAAATTCTAAATTATTCATTAATATACCAACATCAATAAAACTAGTAGAACACAACTTATCTCGCTAACATTTTTAAAAAAAATATGTGTTTTTTGAAAAAAGGAAAATAAGAATTGTTCTTTTTTTACCAAAAAATATTATCTTTACTTGACGAATATATTATATTTGTTTAAAAACTTTTTACTTGACGTATAAATATATTAAATTAATTAGGCTTTTTTGAAGTATTTATTAATATAACAATATTAAAAAATTATAGATAACAATTTATTTCGTTAATATTTTAAAGAAAACTTTAAAAGATATGTATTTATTTGAACAACATAAAATAGGAAAAGTTGTCTTTTTTACAAATAAAATATATCTCGAAAATAATGTTGCATATTTATTTAATAAATATTTTACTCTAAGAATATTTAATTTAAATGCAACTTAATAAGAAAAAGTAAAAAAAAAATTAAATGTTTTTTTAGATAATAGCAATGAAAAATGAAAATCGCTAATAATAATTTGAAATATGTTTTTATTTTAATTTTAGTTAAGTCATCAAAATGATGTGTCATCCACATCACCTCATTAAAGCCATACAAGCAAAAAAGTCAAAGGGTTAACCGGTTTAAAAGGTAACAGGTTACCCATTGCTATTATGAATAGATTTTTTAAAATACATTGCCTTAATAAAAAATAATTTAAAAGTACATTGCTGTAATAAAGAAAAACAAAAGTAGAATGCTATAATAAATTTTTTTATGAAAGTAAGTTGCTATTTTATGCATTTAACCTTATAAAAAAAATAAGGGAGGTAAAGTAAATTAAATAATTAATTATAAATATATAAAGCTTAATTTAAATTCCGAAAATGATTAAAATTAATCGTATGCATCCCCTTTTTTATTAACACTTAAAACTACATAAAAATTATAACTAAAAAAACCATTTTTTTTAATCTATTTTACAAAAAAAAAATTGTAATATTTTAGGAACCATGAGTCTTTAAAAGTGCACAAATAGATAGCTCCAAAAACTTTTATATACAGTTAAATTAGAAAAAAAATCAATTAAATATGTTTATTTATTTAAATTATAACTAGTTGTGTATTCGCCTAATGCGGCGAGAGCCGTAAATTTTAACGATTTTGAAGTTTCACTGGTTTTATTAGAGAAGATTTAACGATGATATAAGTTACATTTGGTCTTTACATATTAATACAATTTGAATAAATACGAGTTATGATTCCAATGACAGTTTATCAATAAAAAAATTATATGAAAGTTTAAAATCCAACATATTTAAACGACTCCACAAATGTGTTCGATTTACACCAAGAGCAAAGAATCAAGAGATCAAGAGCGAGACCGATAATGAGATCGAGAGTTGTAGAGCAATTTAATGAGATAACTTTTAATAACTCGTGGTGAATATGAGTTTGAATCTCACATTGGGGGATGGAGAGAAGACATAGATGTATGAAAGGGTGAAGACATGAGTGAAATGTATCAAAAATATCTTGAGACCATGAAAAGAAAAGGTAATAATGTGCATTGGTAACTTGTACTATATGTCATTTTAATTGTAGATTAAGTGATTTTAAGACTTGATGCATAAAGTAGTAGTACTTAATGCATTACGAGTTGTTTTTAAGACTTTGTGCATTAAAAATTATTTTTAAGACTTTTAATAAATCTGATTTATAAGATAGTATAAATTTGTTTGATTCCAAAATTAGAGGAAAAATATAAAAATTAACAATGTACAAATAAAAGTTGTGGGTGAGATATTTGCAACCACTAAATTTGAGCACAATAAAACATGATTAAGTCAAATATTGATTTATGTAAATAAAAAAAATACCATCAACAACCAATCATTTCCCTTAATTTTCTATGCACCATGAATAAAATCTCGAATGTTGTAAAATTTTCTCCTATAAAAACAGATCGTCTACGCTTTCATTATCCTCAAGCTTTCCTTCTTCCTCATTTTCTTTGTCGATTTCTGCAGTCCTTTCTTCTCTTACCTATATACAGTGTTATATAGGGAGAGAAAATAAATCAACAATTAGAACTCATATCATTCTCGAGTGATTTCATTTTAATTGTAAAAATATAAAATGGGTACTTGTGCTAGTGTTCCCAAGGCCATGAGAAATGAGGATAGGTCTACCTCAAGAGGAGTTATGCTTAAGCGGAAACTCACTCGTCAAATGTCTAAAAGGTGGACATTCCGTCAAGTATCTACAAAAATAACCACCCCTGAGGTGTCTGAGGAGCCGACCAGCCCCGAGGTGACCACGCCTGAGGTATCTAATGAGGAGACTGTTCTCAAGGTATCCGAAGAAGTGACCCCCCCTAAGGTGACCACGCCCGAGGTATCTAATGAGGAGACTGCTCTTAAGGTGCCTGAGGAAGTGAACACCATCGAGAAACCTGATGATGTGACCGCCCTTGAGGTGCCTCAAGAGACCACCGTCACGGTGGCGGCAGAGGAACCGAAGGAAGAAGGTGATGATGCGAAAAAGGCAGAGAAAGAAAAGGTTGAAGAGGAGAAAAAAGAGGATGGGAATGTTTTCGATGAGACTCAGTCTCCCGTAGACATAATTAATGAGGTACGCAATTATATTTTGTAATTTTTAATATTCTACAAAAAATTAACTATGACACCATCCTTTGAAGCACATTTGTCATACCAATTAATATTTAATATTTTATTTTATTATGTCCCTGAGTTGTTTCAAAATCCCGAAAATACATCAATACAGCTTCTGACAATAGTTTGATCCATTTTCTTCCATATAAGGGAAAACCTCAAAAGATTTTGACACATATTTATAGAATTAGCTCCTAAATCAATTAAATTATTTTTATTTATTTATTTGCATGATAAACTTATCAATTTCGCATGTACATTTCTCATTTCAAACATGATTATTAATCATATATAAAACCAAATACCAGGCAGAGGAACCTAAAGTTGATTCAAGCGAAACAGAGGAGACTGAAGTAGTTTTTATCCGTACCGAGGAGGTTAATCCAACTGAAGACGAGCCTAAGGTTGCCCAAATCGAGCCAGAGGAAGCTGAACTAGAAGAAGAAAAACCTGAAGTTTCCTCCAAACAAAGTGACGAGGTTGAACCTAAAGCCGATTCTTTTGAAACCAATGAGGCTAACTTAGAGAAAGAAGAGTCTACGGTTGCCACTATCAAAACAGAAGAGGCTAAAGTACTTGAAGTTGTCCCTACTCAAAATGAGGAGGCCCAACCAGAATCAAAAGAGCTTCAAGTTTCCCCTGCTCAAATAGAAGAGGCTGAACCCAAGGAAGTTTCCCCTGCCAAAGAAGACGAGTCATCTGCTTAATTTTGATATCTTCTTGTTTTCATTGATGAATTAAGGAATAATCAAAAGCAGGCAACTAAATGTTTTCTTATCATTTCATTCTCAAATTCATCAATGCAATATCTTAAGTGTTTAATGTCGTATTTTATGTGTCATTGAGTATCCTATGAATTTTCTCTCACATAGATCAACAACAAATTCCCCTATTTATCTATACTATATTATAAAGCATTTAACAAAAACTCTTAAAAACCATTTTTTATGCACGAAGTACTGTTTATTGATGCATATTACTTAAAATTTAAGATTACAAGTAAATTGTGCATAAATACAACTTATTAAAACTTCATATTTGAATTCGTGTAACTAACTGCAGATAAACATGATCAAATATTGGATAAACATCTCATTTTGAATATAAAAAATCTAAAATATAATTAGGATAATCATTGAGTTCTAACAGAATAATTAGTTATTATCGTTATAAAAAATTATATTATTAAAGCTAAGTTAAATTTCTTTGTTATTAAACCTAAATTAAATTATAATTTAAAAAATTGAATTGATATTACAACAAAACACAAAAAACTTTTAAAACAATTAATTTGATATTGATATCGGTATTTTTTTTTCAAATTTTATAATATTTTTAAATTTATATTTATTTAAAAATAAAACCATTATCGCTTTATCAAAACCACATAAGACCGTACTATATCGACATAAAAAAAGAAATAAAACGAAACACTGAAATTAAGATGTGTCTCGATGCATTGCACGAGTACCCTTCTAGTATTTTCAAACCTCTGACTTGACCAAATGGGATGGTGCAAATAGCAACATCATATGGTATATATAGTGGTATTGCTAAATGAGCTCGAGGTCAAATCAATCCTTGAATATATGAAAATGGAGGTTTAATCAGACATGTGTGTGAGAATTTGTAAGAAATGGGTTCATTTAAAATGCAAGGGGTTCATTTGTGAAATATATGAAACCTTATTAGATTATTGTTGGTCCCCAACGGATCTATAAAAGTTTTAAAGGTAACAATTTGTAGAAGGGAGGGGGGGAGAGAATGAATACAAACACACGATTTTCACTTTTTAAATTCGTTTATTATAAAAGAAGATCAATATGGAATTTACAGATTGTTGCGGAAGAAGATAAAGTTAAAGACCTATCGAAACAATCTTAGAAACCCACAGATTGCACAAAAGATAAGAACAAGAGAGAAGGGAGTTAGAATGAGAAGATGATGCTGGTTGAGAAGAGAAGTTTTCTCAGCTTTTTATACCAATTGCATTTAATGCAAGTCAGAAGGTACAAGCCACATGGCAAGCTTCTAGTGGAGAGCTTATCCTTTGTCTTCAGATAAGCAAGCTTTTGACCGCATGTGAACAATTGTCTTTCACAAAGTTGGTAAGCACGTTTGGAAATAATAAAATAACTACGTACATGTAATTTTCTGTGTAAGGTATGAGTTTGTCCTTCTTTTGTAGGAGGATAAGACAAAAACTAATCTTGTAGATCAAGATTCATATGATCGTTGACACTTATTCAAGTTTAGACATTCTTGTTATCACTGAATCCACTTCAGATCACGAACAGTCGTCTCTATCTTCAACTACTTCTTCGACATCGTTTAATGTCCCTCTGATGTGAGTTTTATTTTTGAGGAATACTTGTTCTTTAAGAAGTTTACAATACATGTTCAGTGATAACTTGAACAAACTCAAAAATCATCGTTGAAACTGAGCAGAAGTAGAACAAGCATATTTCACTAAGTATGGAGGGTCATCATCAAATCATCGAGAGAGTTTGGATCAAACAATTATTCTCCAAAAGAGCCATTATAATGACAACTAAGGTTCTAACATGTATTAAAGTAGACAGGTTCAAGTCTGGCACATGTGAGATTTTAACACGCTCCCTCCTATAGAAGGTAGATGAATACAAATTCCTAGAGTGTCGAGTTTCATGCACTAAGGGAGAGCAAAACCCAAATCCGTAGTTGTTCATATTATAGTTCAAAATGAACGGTTCATATGAACCAGTCAACAAGTTTAGGATAAAATCCGTAGCAAGCTCCTGACTCATGGGAAAACCTAGTCGCTCAAGCTGATCAATGTACGATTTTATTTTCAGAACATGTACACTGACGCTACTACCTTGTGCCATTTTGCAACCGACCAGAGACATGACAATGTCAAATCGCTCTTGCCTAGCCTGCTGCTGGAACATGTCTTTCAGCTAGTTGTTCATGTCGAATGCCCCAAGACTTCCCATACCCATTTGGAGTTCTGGTATCATGGTTGCCAACATTAGGCAAGCGACCTCGTTTGATCATGTCAGATGTTTTTCATACTAATCCTGAATCGCCCAAGTTGCTCCGGCAGCGGGTCCTAACGGAGTGGTGCCTTTATAGCCCTTGCTTTTCTTTTTCCATCCTGAGAATTATTCTCAGGTATCGAAGTGAGTCCATATAGTTCAAGCCCATAAGTTTGTCATTTTCGAGGAGACATCTCAAACAAAAGTTTGAAACTGGTGAATTTGTGTTGTTTGACATCTATCAAAAGAAAAGACATTTTAGTGATTTGAATTAAATAATCCTTGTTAGAATAATTACCCACATATTCAAAATTAATTTTAACAAGACTAAGATCCATATTTCACTCCCAGCCACAACGGGTTTGTTGCGGATTGTAAGTAGAAGCTATTTAGGTAGGTAATTATTTTACCAATTTCATCTTGTATGAAATTCTTAGATCCTTGCGGGATTCATTGACATCCATCATGTGATTTGGTATGTGTAATCCCTTTCACGCTAATCATTTTCCGTGACCGGTTTTTCGTGGATCACGAGTCCAATTCTTTAAATCAACCATACTAAGACACATGACATCCGACCCAAGACTCTCGGGTATCGCGAATGTCACAAACATTGTTCCAAAAAGTCTAACCAACATGTTGGCTTTAGACCTTCCCTACACCGAAAGATTATTAGTTCAGATGGTGCTTTTAAATGTGTAACATGTGATTTACATTAAAAAACGGTTTTGTTTTTCTTAGTTAAAACATTTTTAATTGTAATAATTAAACCTTCTTTTTCTATTCTATACTATTATACAAATACATAGAAAAACGAAATGATTCGCAGGTCGCGCAAAATTTACAACCATAAAAAAAAAACCCTTCCACAAAACATCGCAACACATAGGTTTTACAGAGGCAAACTGTTACCGGATCCATACAAACACAAGGTACGTAAATAAATGCAATAGAGTGCCAAACCCATGCAAAATACAACACTTTGATAAAGATTGAATATTACATACAATTCGACACTTTAAAATCAATCCTTGCTCGTACAGATACAAGCACACTTTATAATTATGTAAGTATAGTTTCATGCCAAAACTATCCATACATAATTGTACAAGTGAATCAAAGGTCCGGAAAAATACATTAACAAAACTTCAACAATAGAAACAAGAAACTGATTTTCATGGTTTTTTCTTGAAATTTCGTAAACCTAGTTTTTCTCAAAACCCTAGAACTCGACATCTTTAGGTTTAAAATTCCAGGTTTCAAAATTACTACCTTTCCTTGAAAGGAGACTTTAATTTTCTAAAACCGCAATTTTTATAGTTTCAAAACCCTAGACTTTCCAAAAGGAAATTTTAGGTTTTGTAAAATTTCAATTTAGGGTTAAAACCCTAGATCTCAAAAACGAAACCTGTGGTTTCAAAAGAAAACCAAAAATCGAAGTTTTCAAGGTTAAAAAAAAACTTTTGTAATGAACCATTCAAAACTTTAGAACAATCTTAAGAAAAATCGAGATCTGTGGTTAAAATAACCAAAAACGAAAAATATTAAGATTAAAATTTTATTTTTGTAATGAAACATTCAGATCAATTGGAAAAACCTTTAGAATCTTTATATGTGTTTCATACATTCAATTTTCCCATTTGAATGTACAAAACACATTCCTAAACAAATTCTATAGCAAAATCGATTTCACATGTACCTGTATATTGTAACCGTGGCTCTGATATCACTGTTGGATTGTAAGGTTTTTCGATAACAAAAAAAGGAGATTGAGGAAGCAAATAAAACAAGAGTACAATCTTCCAGAGATCTGGTTACGATTAATATACAAGTAACAAAAGCAAACATAGAAAAGAGTAGAGATCGACCTTTGGATGAATATGAAGAACCCAGTAGTAGGATTCTCTCTATCACGTGCACACCCCAAAATTCTATCATGCGAGCAGAAATCGCCAAACACACACTTGTGTGAGTTGTGTAGAAATCGGCCAAACCCTATTAGGGAGGGTGGTGGTGCGCCGATTTGTAGAGAGGAGAGGGACTAGGACATATATTGAATCCACATTTTTTTATTACCATCCTTTAAATAAAGACATCATCATTTAAATAAGGACTAATCTCATCTAAACCCTGATAAGTTGGGCCAAGGCCCAATCTCAATTAAGGGGTCGTTTACCTAAACACTTATCCGGTAAGCATTTACCGGTAAAATTCAACACTATTGTTTACTTACCAGGTAAGATTTTATTCAATAAAACGCATCGTATGCAACAATTTATCCCGGTAAGCGCTAACCATGGTAAGAGTTCTCGTCCTCACTTTCGGGGTAAGACTCTCGATTCTTGCCTTCGCTCTTATGGGGTAAGATTTTTAGTCCTTGCTATATTCATCTGGTAAAGTAAAGTGACTTGATAAGCGCTTACCCGGGTAAGCGTTTGGTAAACGGCACCTAAGCCTAAGTAAGTTTTGGACTAATATCCAATTAGTCACTCTAGTAATTTAATTAACACTTTTAGTTAATTACTTATTAAGCCATTTATTTCTTACATTTTGGTTGAACTTTGTGAGCGACCCAATAGGCCCCATGCAGTTAACAATATCACTATTTTGTTGTGTCTATGGGCATATCTCCAACATTGGCTTTGGTTTCATGTTTGACAGGTGTTTTGATTAATGAGGCTTCATCACGA